GGGAGGGAGAGGGAGGGGGGAGGGGGGGAGGAGGAGGGAGGGGGAGAGGAGGGGAGTGGGGAGGGGGGGATGGCTTAGTGTTGTTGATGATAAACTCCTTTAGGTGTGTAAGCTTGATTTGGTGGGAGAGGGTGAGGGGGTGAGAGGGATGGGGGTGAGAGTGGGGGTTGAGAGTGGGGGTGGGGAGGTTAGGAAGAAGGGGAGGGACCTTCAAAATCCAGTAATTATTATCCCTTCACCTCCAAAAGCCAAGGACCTCCAAGGACCTCCAAGAATCCTTACCATCTCCCCTTATCTCTCTCTCTCTCCTTTCCTCCAAACTCTTAACTCCAAAAAAAAACTCCAGGTAGTATAGATTACCTCATGACCTCCAACCTCCAACAACCTCTCTATTACAAGAACCTCCAATCAGTAATGTATGTCACTACCAAGAACTCCAAAACTCTCTCCTCTTCACCAGGTAACCTCCAGCGTGACACCTGGGATTACGACACACTCACACACGTTACATAACACCTCTAAATGTTCTCACTTAAGAGTCTGAACAAAAACTCCTTCCTCATCTGTTATTCCTAAGTTCTTTTGTTATTTTTGTTGATTTTCTTTGTTCTTCTTCTTTTTTTGATTGTTATTGTTTTCTTCTTGTTCCTGTTCTTGATCTTCTTGTCTTCTTATTCTTCTTTTAGTTCTTGTTTGTTTTCTTTTCGCTGCTGTTGTTGTTGTTCTTCTTCTTTCTCTTCTTCTTTTCCTTCTTCCTCCTTTTCCTTCTTCCTCCTTCATCTTCCTCTTCTTTTTTTTCTTCCTCTTGCTCTTCTTTTTCCTTTTCCTCTCCCCCTTCTCTTCCTCCTCTCCCCATCAATTTACCGTATCCTCTCTCTCTCTCTCTCTCTCTCTCTCTCTCTCTCTCTATTTATTGTTTGGTTTATCTCCTCCTCCCTCCCCTCCCCCTCCCTCCCCTCCCCCTCCTCCCCCTCCCCCCAACACTTTTTTTCGGAGGATTGCCTGGAAGGAAAAGGAAGAAGCTTTTCTTTGTAAGCCGCTCAAAAGGAGGGAGGAATGGGGAGGGGGGTGGGGGAAGAGAGAGAGGCGAAAGTTTGTCCTAGGAAAGAGTGTGTAAGACAGTGGAGGTGGTGTTGTGAGGGAGGAAGAAAGGAGTGAGGGTGGGAGGGGGGCTTGTCAGGCGCTTTGGGTTGTCACAGTAGAGTGTTGAAGTCTCCTCAATAGTGTGTTGTGTGGTGGTGTCGGAGGAGGAGGAGGAGGAGGGAGGAGGAGCAGGAGGAGGAGGAGGAGGAAGAGGTAGAGGAGGAGGGAGGAGGAGGAGGAAAGAAAAAAGAAGTAGAGGAGGAGTAAGAAGAGGAGAGATTAGGAGGAACAGAAAGAAGAGGAGGCATGAGAGGAGAAGAAGAAGAAACAGAGGAGGAGGAGGATCACTTGGTAGCCTCCAAAACTCACCAGGGAAAGCTGTGACGCCTTGCTGGATAAGCGAAAACTTCTGAGTACAATGGTGTGTGTGTGTGTGTGTGGTGTATGTGTGTGTGTGTGTGTGTGTGTGTGTGTGTGTGGTGTGTGTGTGTGTGTGTGGTGTGTGTGTCTGAGTGTGTGTGTGTGTGTGTGTGTGTGTGTGTGTGTGTGTTAGGTACAGTGATAAGAACACTTCCTTCCCTTTCTCCTATGTTCCTTCTCCCTTCCTTCATTTCTTCTCTCTCTCTCCCATCCTACGCTTTCTATCTCTCTATTTCCCTCCTCCCTCACTTACTTCCCCCTCCCCCTCCCCTCCCCCCCTCCCATTTACCAACGGTTTAGTACCCATTTGCATATAACAACATTATCTCACCGCCCATCTGGGACAACAATGGATCTATCTGTCTATAAATCAGGTGAGCATAGGTGCCTCCATGGGTCCAGGTCTCAAGGGGTGGTCCTGGGGCTACAGAGGCTACTAGGGGGAGGCTACTGGGGCTATTGGAGGCTACTAGGGGCTGTGGGCTACACACACACACACACACACACACACACACACACACACACTCAGACACACACACACACACACACAGTTAATAAAGACATACCTGGCGTCCAGACTCCCAGGTAGGTTATTGAGGCCAAAATCTGCATAGGTTTTATGTGAACATTTATTAAGGGTTAACAAGGCAGCTATGGTGGTATGGTAGAAGTGGAGAAATTGGGGGAGGGTAGGGAGGGTGTGGGGAGGTAGGGGTGGGAAAGAGAGTGTGTGTAGAAAAATAAGATGACAGTAATACAGACAGAGACAGACAGAGACCCCAATATACAGACAGATGGACATAAAATACAAAGCGACGTTCACCAAACCATCAATTAGACTTAACGAGGTGGGCGGAGTCTAACAACGACTCTGTTATTTCAGCCAATTGTTAGGGCGGGGGCGTAGCCATGACGTAATTGTGTAGGCGGGGCATAAGTATGACGTTGCAATTGTGTGGGTGGAGCTTAACTATGACGTTGCAATTTCAGCCCATTG